GGCGTGTGGAACGTGCGCCGGCAGCGTGGCCGATGTTCGCTCATATTCGTCCACGGAAGCCGTTTAGTGTCGTGCACGGGGCAGGGCAACGGAGGCAAAAATCTGCAGTGGGCCCGGGCTCGGCAGAGGGGGGGAAACCAGGAGGAAAAATGATGACGAGTCTGTCTGTTTGCCTGCCTGTATGTCTGTCTGTCAGTTTGCCTGCCTGCCTTCCTGCCTGCCTGCCTCCCTCCCTGTCTGTCTTTCTATTTCTTTCCTTATCTCTCTATTTTCCTCGTGCGGGATCCAGCCGCGTAAGACGGGTCGGGGGGAGAGAGGCGCCCATGCCTGCTGCAGCCGCTGTGGCTGTGGGCGTAGTGCTCTCCGAGGGTTGGCCTTACTCACGCTATCCGCCACCAGCTGGCAATGGCCCCAATGGTCCTGCTTATCAGGCGCCGTCCGGTATGCGGTAATCGGCGCCCTCCCGGCCAACACCTCATGATTGTGCCCGCCCAGGCATCTACATGGGCGTGATGAAAATTTGGCCCAGTTTTGCCACCGCGGCGCGAAACGCACACTTCTCGTTGAATGGAGCACTGTTTGCCCGAGCCTCGAGCCCGCGGCTCGCTGGGGTGTCGTCACCTGCGCAGCGGAAGTGCCGTCTTACGCAGCGAGACCTCGCCGTCCCCGGGGCGGCTTCGATCTGCAAAACTGCCGCCACTTTCGTGGGCTTCTGGGAGACCCAGCAAAGGTGAGACCTCGCCATCCCCCGGGTGGCTGCGATCTGCGAAACTGTTGTCACTTTAGTGGGCTCTTGGGAGGCCCAGCGGAGGTGCGTTTTACGCAGATCACCATGAGACCTCGCCGTCCCCTGGGGTGGCTTCGTTCTGCGAAACTGTCGACACTTTCGTGGGCTCCTGAGAGGCCCAACATGGGTGCGTCTTACGCAGATCACCATGAGACCTCGCCGTCCCCTGGGGGGCTGCGATCTGCGAAACTGTCGCCACTTTCAGGGGTTCCTGGGAGGCCCAGCGGAGGTGCGTCTTACGCAGATCACCATGAGACCTCGCCGTCCCCTGGGGTGGCTTCGATCTGAGAAACTGTCGACACTTTCGTGGGCTCCTGGGAGGCCCAACACGGGTGCGTCTTACGCAGATCACCATGAGACCTCGCCGTCCCCTGGGGGGCTGTGATCTGCGAAACTGTCGCCATTCTCGTGGGCTCCTGGGAGGCCCAGCGGAGGTGCGTCTCACGCAGATCACCATGAAACCTCGCTGTCCCCATGAGGGGCCGCGATTTTTGAAATTGCTGCAACTTTCGTGAGCTCATGGGAGGCCCAGCGGAAGTGCGTATTACGCAGATCACCATGAGACCTCGCCGTCCCCTGGGGGGCTGTGATCTGCAAAACTGTCGCCACTTGCGTGGGCTCCTGGGGGGCACACCGGAGGTGCGTCTTACGCAGATCACCATGAGACCTCGCCGTCCTCTGGGGGGCTGGGTTGCGGCGTTGGGGGGTCCACCGGCGCTGCTCCCACGAATTATGTCTCCAATCGTCTCTCCTTTTTGTGTTTCCATGCTCCCTCGTGGCCGCCTTTCTGCCAGCGATCTGACGCTAAGAGCGACGCCGCATATGTGAACATGTGATTATGGCCCGACGTTTTTTGGCGAATCATTCAAGGGCACGGTGGATCCTTCAGTGCTCGCTTTTGTAGTGAGCGGTCCGATGTATAGCCGCCTCATGTGTACAAAGGGTTGGGTACGTCCTTGGGTAATGTCTGAAATGAAATCGAACCAGGTTCGAATCTGCTCGTCGAAGAACTTCTTGCACAAAACGCTAATTTTTCTATTCGAACCGATTCGTATTTTAACGGGACACCTCCGATTCACGCTGCGCCAACGTGTCAAACATGGAACGATAGTTCATCAAGGCACGGTCGATCACCTAACTTCGCGTATCTTGACACGCGATATGCGGTCTTCTTCGGGCCCTCGCAAGGCCACTTTGGAGATGGGCAGCCCTCAGACCCAGGCCGCGACGCGCGAAGCAAGATCATCTTCACGCCGCCACGGTGAGCGAAGGCACTGACGCCCCCAACTGCCGCAGGGCCCGAAAGCCCCAGAGAAAGCGAGAGAGAGGGAGAGAGAGAGAGACAGACAGGAGGTACACACCGAGGAGGCAGGTGGGCTTGGGCGCGACCGAATCGCATTGGTCAGGGCCGTGCACCCAAAAATGGCGTCACTGCAATCCACGCGCGGTGCAGGAACGTGCTCGTGAACTGGAACAGTAAGCGCTCTGCGGCAAGCTCGCTTCCCTCTCGCGCAAACTGACGCGGCAGCCCCCGCAGGGCCGCGGGGGACGGGATCCGAGGCCCTGGGGGGAAGCCGCTCGCATCTCCTCCTCCTCCTCCTCCTCCTCCTCCTCCTCCTCCTCCCAGTTCCCAAGTTGCCCTCCTGTAAGCGCCGCAGGCGGTCTGTGGAGCGCCCGAGCACGCCACCGCGGACTCTGCGCGCCGCGGGCAACGCGACGATGAAACCAGTGCCCAAGGCCCAAGAACCCACCCTCCAGCATCGGCAGCTCAGCCAGCGAGCCCGACGGCCAGGGCTGCGCACTCCCCCGGGCGGGCAGCCTCCTAGCCCCGGTCCCGCGCTGGCACGCCGTTGCTGCTTGCAGGGCCTCCGCCAACTCCGTGCTCTTGCGGCGCGCGAGGGCGCAGCCCGCGGCGGCGTCCTCGCCGGCCAGCAGCTGCGCACGGTCTTGCGCGAGCCGCCGCGACGCCTGCCCGGACGGGTAACCTACGGTGCGTGCTTGCCGGCCTCGGCGACCCTGCAAATGGCGCCATCCCGCGCCACGGAAGCCCGGAGCCCGTCGGTGTCGCCGGGCACGCCGTGTCGCACCGTGTTGTCGATGAAGACCTGTGGGCATTTGGCCTGTTGGATCTCCAAGTCGATGCTTCCTCGCGCACCGCCGCCAACGCACTCCCGCAGCCGACGCAGGCCGCCCCAGCAGCTGGGCGCACGGGCGCCTCGCCTCGTGCCCCGCAGCCCGCGCAGCACCACCGCCAGCGGTACCAGGCTGGCACCAGCGTTTGCCGCGCGACGCAGTAGCCGCACTTGGGGATCCGCGTTCCCACGCGGTCTCCTGGTCGCCACTGCGCACCTTCAGCCCGCCTCCGCGCGAGCAGCGCCAGGCGTGGCGAGCCTTGGCGCAGAGCGGGTTCCCGCAACGCTAGCTGGCCCGCTCCCTCATGCGGGCGCAGTTCTGGCAGGTGGCCCAGCGGGCGGTGCTGCCCGCGCTCGCAGGCCGAGGCGGTTTGCCACGCGTGCGGACCGCCGCAGGAGCGGAGCAGTGCTGGGTCCTCTTCAGAATCCGAGGGACCCAGCAAGCGTGTATAATTATGTTAGCCGATCTTTGCAGCGAGCGCCGATTAGGGCTTAGGCTTCTTCTGAGGATCGGTTGCGAGCTCGATCCAGGTGGGCGGTTTGTCGGGGCCGTCGGCACCCCAGCGGGGCGGCGGCGGCGGCGGCAGCGCCGCGAGTTCGGCGAGGCTGCTCCAGCAGGTGGCGGCGTGCGGCAGCGCGTTCCTCCTCCTCCTCCTCCTCCTCCTCCTCCTCCTCCTCCTCCTCCTCCTCCTCCTCCTCCTCCGCCTCCTCCGCCTCCTCCTCCTCCTCCGCCTCCTCCTCCTCCTCCTCCCCTCCTCCTCCTCCTCCTCGTGCTCGTCCTCGTCCTCGTCCTCCTCCTTCTCCTCCTCCTCCTCCTCCTCATCTCTCCTCCTCCTCCTCCTCCTCCTCCTCCTCCTCCTCCTCCTCCTCCTCCTCCTCCTCCTCCTCCTCCTCCTCCTCCTCCTCCTCCTCCTCCTCCTCCTCCTCCCCTCCTCTTCCTCCGCCTCCTCCGCCTCCTCCTCCATCTCCTCCTCCTCCTCCTCCTCCTCCTCCTCCTCCTCCTCCTCCTCCTCCTCCTCCTCCTCCTCCTCCCTCCTCCCTCCTCCCTCCTCCCTCCTCCCTCCTCCTCCTCCTCCTCCTCCTCCTCCTCCTCCTCCTCCTCCTCCTCCTCCTCCTCCTCCTCCTCCTCCTCCTCCTCCCTCCTCCTCCTCCTCCTCCTCCTCCCTCCACCCTCCCTCCTCTCTCCTCCTCCTCCCTCCTCCCTCCTCCTTCCTCCCTTCCTCCTCCCTCCTTCCCTCCCTCCCTCCCTCCTCCCCCTCCTCCCTCCTCTCTCTTCCCTCCTCCCTCCTCCCTCCTCCCTCCCCCTCCTCCCTCCTCCCTCCTCCTCCCCTCCTCCCTCCCTCCCTGCTCCCCTCCCTCCTCCCTCCTCCCTCCACACGCCCGTCACTCCCTGAGCGAGCAGAGTACCACCACAGCAGGGAGTTACAATACCCCTGAGAAACTTCATCATTTCCGACCCTCCCGCCCTTCCACGAGGCGAAACCACCACATAAAACACAGAACATCACCGACAAGTCTGACTCCACTTCTCGAGCCCAGTGAAGCTTATGATGGTCCCCAGCCCCTCCCTGGTGGGATTCAAAGCTTCACAGGCAGACGTTAACCCTGGACCAACAGCCCTGAGACACCTGGTGCACCTGAAAACATCGCCATGCTTGACAATCATGTGGAGGCTCTTAGGGGGCTTAGCCTGCGGGGCCCGCGGAGGCCTCCGAAATTTACCGCACTGTTGTTCGGCAGATGGAAAGCACGCAAACACTGCACACTGGCACTGAACACATGCCAAAGCACAGGCATTGGTATTCATCTTGCGCTATATTCCAAAGATCTTCGTCGGACAAATCAGGAATCCGAGCTCCTTGTTTAACAGCCTTGGATCCAGCTGCGAGAGCCCGCGAGCGATCATCCATGTCTTCCGAGACTTCCTAGTGGGTCGTAACTATAAGCAGGGGGACCCAATTACACTGCTCGATCCTCCTACTCGTTTCCCTCCCTCCTCCTTCCTCCCTCCTCCTTCCTCCCTCCTCCCTCCTCCCTCCTCCTCCCTCCTCCCTCCCTCCAACCGAGCACGCCAGCGGGTCCTTCGAAATGTCGACCTTCTGCTTATCGAACCTCGGGGGCCCGGTCCAGCCCCATCTCCTCCCCTCTGCAGTCACCGCTGTCGTCCACTCTGCCCTTTGTTCACCGAGATGCCCACGTGAAGCACTGTTCGCCTGGGTCTCCAAACTGTACGCATCGCGCCCCGCGATGCAGGACGCGCTGTCATCATAATACCCTCGCGCCCTCGCGCCCCCGCGCCGCCCCCAGTGTAGAAGGGCAGCCGCCCTGGCCCTGACCGCGACGCGTGAATCGTGATTATCTTCGTGCCCTCGCGGGTCAACGATCCGCTGGTCAAGCGCTGGTCGACGATCCGATCTCCAGACCCTGGGACCGTCGAAATGCCCCGCAGCGAAATAACGACTGCTGTGAAATGCGATGGGAGTGATGATGACGATGCTGGTGACGCACCCTCGAGTTAGCGACGACGCGTGATGACGCGTTGCGATGCAAATGTCGCTGCCGTTCCCACGTTCGATCTCACTCGATCGACCCCACTATCGACATCACAGGATTGATCACACTCGATCGATCTCACTATAGATCTCACTATAGATCTCGCGTTCGATCTCACTACCGATCTCACTATCGGTTCCTCAATCGATATCACGATCGATCTCACAACCAATGTCACAATCAACCTGACTGTCGATCTCACTTTTGATCCCACAATCTATGCCACTCTAGCGATCTCATTCTCGATCTCACTATCGACTTCACTATCGATACCAAGGCGGGACACCCCTGGACACCGCCCGCCCACCGCCGACGGAACACCGACGGGACACCAGCGGGACACCACAGGACACATCAGGACACCACAGCGGGACATCCACCCAGGCCACCGCGCGCCCACCGTGGGCGGAGGGGCGGTCCACTGCATCCGAATCGCCCTAGCGACGGCGGGGTCAGTCCTCTCGCGCGCCCACTCAGCGTCGCCTCGCCCGCACGCACGACACGAACACGAAACCGAAACCGATTTCCCGGTGGGGGGCTGCGATCTCACCCCCGAACCTCCGACTAACGCACCAATCAATCGCAAGACTGTAATTGAAGACGCTCTCTGACTGGGAGCAACTCGGCAAGGTACGTGGGCAAACGGCGCCCGCACACCAGCAATTGACGCCCCAGCGCACTCGAGCTGGCCGAATCGGCAGCCCCAGGTGCAAGAGCGCTCGAATGCACCATAAGTGTGACATCTCAGGAGGTCCCGCAAGCAGGGTGAATGAGAAGGGGGAGGAGACGACGACGACGACGACGACGACGACGACGACGACGACGACGACGACGACGACAACGACGACGACGATGTCGACGACGACGATGATGATGCTGATGAGATGATGATGCTGCTGCTGATGATGATGCTGATGATGATGATTATGATGATGATGATGATGATGATGATGATGATGATGATGATGATGATGGTGATGATGACGATGCTGATGATGACGCTGGTGCTGCTGATCATGATGCTGGCAATGCTGATGCTGATGCTGATGATGATGAAGAAGAAGCGCGCCAAAAAGGCGGACCTGTCACAGGACTGATGTGGTGGCCCCGGCAGGGCGGCGCTCAAAGGGCAGTGACACTCACCCAGTGCCGCTTACGCCACCTGCAGGGCCATGTCTCGTTCGCGCCATCTCTCTCTCGCTCTCTCTCTTTCTCTCTTTTTTTTTTTCTCTCGCTCTCTCTCTCTCTCTCTCTCTCTCTCTCTGGCGCACTCGCTCGCGGAGGGCGACCATCCTCGACTCGTAGCCGCACTTCGAATTGGGCTCGGGCCGAGCCGAAACGCAGGTGGTTTCGATACGAGGCTCGCGACGTATGGGCAAGACTCTCCCGGCAAGAATCGCACATGCAACCTGCTTCTGCAACTGTCGATGCGGGCCGACGCCTTTTACGGAAGTTCTGCAGGATCTCAATGCCCTTCGACGTCGGCTTAACACAAGGGGCCCTCAGCTTGTGTCTCCGTCGCTGTTGGGCCCACGCACCGTACTTCTTGCAAACAAAAACTGGACGATCTACAACTCGAGAAACCGATTCGCACCGCTCGCCAGACTGGTGATCAGCAAGGAAAGTGTGGCGGAGAGGCCGAGCAACATACTCGCGAAGAAAAGTAGGGGTCCCCCTGCAAACCGTCAAGGGCCAATCCTTAGCGTTGTGCACGCCTGACTCACTACGACACCAGTCGTGGTACCCCTCCTTCCCCACGTTCCTGCTGATCCGAAACACGGGCAACCTCCTCCACCGTTGTTCCCGTTCGAAGGAGTGGAGCGTAGCAGCACCTAGACGAACCAAGTTCCCTGTGGCCACCGCATCTTCCCCCACCTTCTGCAAAACAAAAACACGGCTAGCAAGCGGATGCATCAGCACCGCCTGCGGTGCAAAACGATTTGCCGCGAGATTCGCATCTGTGACTCTGCGCTCTGTTTCGGACAAGTCCTGATACTGCGCGTTCGTGCAGTGTGCTTTCACAGGCTCAGCAGAGTACACGCGCGCATGCCCTGGGCGCGACTGGCCAAAGACCTGTACGCAGGTATGCGCAGAGCGCGACTCCCTCTTGCGTTTAGGGGTTCTCCTCGCTGCATATACTGCGCCAAGGAAATCGACATGCATCTTGGCGGGCCTGCCAGCGACCTGACCGCAGTACGCCAGCCCCAAGTATTCTGCAACAGCAGACGTCTGAGGCATTGCAGGTCTTGCCCGTCCTGCTCGCTGGAGGTCGCGCAGAGCTGGTTTACTGCATGATCCGTCTGGTGCCAGTTCGATCATCGAAGCCCCATCACGTGCATACTGTACCATACCTTCAGGCCCCACGCCGATGTCATCGCCATTCATGTTGACTACTCTCGCTTCGGTGCCAGGTGCCAGGGCTGGAATCTCGCTGTCCAGGAAACCGAAGGAGCCGCACTTGAAGGAGCCACTGTTCTGCTCACCAATGCCGCATTGGATGAACAGGTGGTGCAGCGCCCCCCAATAGCAAAAGCCTTCACGAGAAACTTCTGGCACGAGGTAAACTTCGAGTTCCGATCATAAATATAGCATCACAACGCGTGCCGTCAGGCAGCCCACGCTTGGCTGCAAGGTCCAGTTCATGCTGCCACTGTAGCGCCAGAGTCGCAATCTTCTCGAGCACTCTAGGTGCGATTTGCTGGAGAGGAACTTCGTTGCCACGGTGGTCGGCCCATGTGTCCCAGCGTAATATCTTCCAGCCCAGTCTGCGGACGCAAAGTGCTGCCCTCTCCAAGGGGCCACGCGACGGCGACCACGCCAACGCATCAATGGATACCCCCTTGAAGCCCCACCTGCCACCACTGCTGACGAGCGCCGTGGGAGGAGACGCTCCTGCATTCCAGATGATGCGTGGCCACTGCAACGCAGGGGCAATGGCCTGACGCTTAGCTGGGTCTCTGGGGAGGACAACTTTGGAGCTGACGTCCCTCCACGGCGCGGCTTCACAAACGGAAAATACTGCTTCCGATGAGAGGTCCACTCGGCATCTGCCAAACCTGTGATCTCGACCCCAAACGTCAGTCCAGGTCGAGCTCCAGTTCTGAAAATATGCCCAGTTCTCTCCGTCTTCTTCGTCGCTAGGGCGCGTCGGTATCGGGCGAACTTTGGCGTCCTTTGCTGAAGCCTTCGGCGCCCGCCTATCTCCTTCGCCCTGGCAGAAGCTGCGCACTTCGATCTCCCACCAATTTGGCCCCTGCCCAGGTGAGTTGCAGAGCGCCTGTCCGCCGATCTCGAAAGGCCAGGCTTCGCAGCAACTGCGTCTCCAACACCTGCGTCCAAACAAACAATCGAAAACTTGTTGTTGAAAGTGGCGCCAAGACGAGCTGCTGTGGCCCCGAAAGCTCCGTCCAACCCTCGCAGCCGCCTCGATCAGCGCCTCGTTCGCGTCTGCCTTTGTTTTCATACTACGATCATCAATCTATGATGAGAAGTACAGCTCGCTACGCAAGGATACGACGCGGTCGCGCACCTCGAGCGCGTGTACTTTGATACCGGCGTCCGCGTAGGCATCTCCAGCAGGGAAACCGCGTCGAGCGTGGACTGGCTGCCAGCAATGGCGTCGCCTACATAGGGCGGATAATGCGAGGCGCCGGCCACGTGTTGAAGAGAAGCTTCGTGATGCCCGTCGGGGCACCGCATCTGCAAACTTTCTCTCGAACCTGAATCGACTCGATCGTCTCGTAATACTTGCTGTAATCCGCGATCACCTGGGGGCTCTTGCGATTGCCCTGCACGCGTGCCTCGACTCGAGCCGCAACTTGCCGCGCAGAATCGATGGCTGACCGACCTTTGGCTGCTCCCCAGTAGACGCGAGAAAGCAACTGTAGCATCTGCTCCAACGCAGGTCGCCTGCGCCGTTGCCGCGCGCGATGCGCAGCACCACGCGGCGCGATGAGCCGATGCCTCTTCCCCCAGGGGCCCAGGGGGCATTGGCGCGCAAATCCGTAGCATCTGCCTCGGAAGAACTCTCAACTACTCGATGGGTTCGAAAAGAGCCCCGAGGATAATCAGACCGTCGTCACTCAACATGAGGAGGTGCCGAAGGTGAAGTCCGTCCAGATTTCCAGCCGTCGACTGCGAGAACGTCTTCGCGACCTCTCGAATGTCATGAGCACTGGCTCTCGGCATAGAACTCCTGTCTGGAATCCATGCCCTCGGGGCAGCGGTGGTGGTGGAGGAGGAGGATGGGGGGGGGAGAGAAGAGAAGGAGGAACAAGGAGAGGAGGCGGAGGAGGAAGACGGGACGCAGGAGGAAAAAGGAGGGCAAGCCGAGCGAGCGGGTCCGAGGGAATGGGGCACCTGGATACACGCAGCAGAAAAACGTTCATTCTACAGCAAGAAAGATAACGGGTCAGGGAACCAGGTGCTCCCTGGCACCCCAGGAGACACCCGAACTGGGGGTTGCGGAGTCGGGCGCCCGCGACCCAACCGACCGCCCAGGTTTCCAATAAGGCCCAGAGCCAGGGCTAGGGGGGGGAGATGCGAGAAACGCCCGAATC